CAAAATAATTTCTCAAAACCAATCAACAAAATTCCTAGCAACTCGATATATTAAGTGACAAAGAGGACTTATATTCCACACCTGTCCCGCCCATGGACATTCTTTAATAATATGCATCATAGTTTCAAAACTCTCCCCACACACACTATATGCCCCATTTGGTCTAATTTTTCTACACCACAAATCTTCATTAGCAGGAGGAGCATTTAAGATCATCCTCCATGCAAAATCTTTACTTTACTAGAAACATTTTGATTCCATAAAGCACCCTAATTACCCCCAGAATTTGATGAGGAACCAGCACCTGTACAACCTGAATGGAACAAATTTTGCTCATACGCTAAATGGTACGCACTCCGAACTGAAAATCTTCCATTAGTATTATAATGCCAAATTAACTTATCTTCCATAGGCGACACACCCAAAGGGATCCTTTTGATAACCTCTGCTTCATGCTCCAAGAAGACAACATCAATCACAGGGATTTTCCAACAATGTGAAACTGGATCTATAAGTTCACTAACCTTAGCGTCATCCTTCAACAAATTCTTTGGGCTTACCACTCGGTAAGTAGATGGGGTAGGAATCCATCTATCTTTCCATATATGAATTTTAGACCTATCATCAATCCTCCAATGCGACCCAGCTTCAATGATCATCCTTGATTCTAAAATACTCCTCCATGTATATGAAGGTCTGTATCTAATCTTGGCATTCACAAATGTCATCGATGGAAAATACCTCGCTTTTAAAACTTTGTGCAAAAGAGTATGCGTCTCATGATGAATTCTCCAAGCCTGTTTTGCTAACATTGTCATATTAAAAGTCCTTAAGTCTTTAAAACTCATCCCACCAATTTTCTTCCCTTTACACATGTTAGCCTATTTAACTCAATGAATCTTCCTCTCCCTCTCCTTTTGGCCCCACCAAAAATTAGAGGCCAAAAACTCTAACTTGCTGCAAAAATAATTTGAAAGTTTGAAACATCTCATAGCATATGTAGGAATCGATTGAGCGACTATTTTTATCCCTTGTAACTTCTTCCACCCTTGTAACTTCTTCCACACTCTATGCCTAATACCAGCAAAAACTTCTCTCTTCGATTTACCCACTATAGAAGGCAACCCAAGGTTCTTCTCATGTTGTTGGGTAGACATGATAACTGAATAATGAGATCCTTGTTTCAAGAATAAAACCATTGGGATCTAATAATATGACTAGTATGCATTGATCTAATTATGTTATAGCTAGCATGATTAAATAATATAATTATAGTTGTTAATTTGTTAGAACTTTTTTGTTAGATTATATCAATTGTTGCATAATTATGCCAAAATATCTAGACAAAATTACTTACTCCCAAATGAATTATTAATCTTATTACCATGTCTCTATTTTTTATTTTGTTTCAACGATCAGAAATTGTGGGCCATCTTATGCGCACCGTAACTCGAGATTCAAACTTAGGACTTTGAGTTTACAATTCATCTTTTGACCACTTGAACTATCCCTTGAAGTTAAATCACGTCTCTATTTGTTGGGACTACAATCCCAAGATAAATATTTGAAATTTAACACTGGGAAAGAAAGAATGCCACTTTAACACAATGTTAGTTGATATTTATATTTATGATGACACCATTGAGTAATGATATTTGAATTTAACTTGTTAATTTTATATGCTGACCTTAATCGCTCTGTATAAGATTAAAATAGCGGGTCTCACTATTAATTTGAGACCAGTTACCAGTTCAATATATAATGTATAAGATCAAGAAATAAGATTAGTAAATATTAATGTTTGTTTCTTTGTTTGTATATTCTTTTGTGGATTATGAAATCTTAATATTTTCTAAACAAAAAAATAAATAAATAAAAGGTTAATAAATTAAATTAAAATAATATTATTCTTTGTAAAATCATGAGACATGTTAGGCTTAATCCTGACATAAAGCATAAACAGAAATTAAAAAAAGGAATTTGGAGGTAGGTACCTAAGCCCCATAAAATTCTAAAAAAACCTCACTCGTCAATTTTTTTTTTTGAAATAAGTCCCTACAACTAATGTCTTTTTACAATTGCAAAAAATAACGACAATGTCATCACTTAATTTAGACACCTATTCAAAAAAATTACGTCATCATAATATACACACTGCAACAAAAATCGTTTTTTGGGACGATTTTGGGAAGACAGTTACGCTAAAAAAAATAGGTAAGCAATTATATACACACACACAAATACACATACTTTCGAACTAAAAAATAACCGGTACACAATAATTGTTAGTCAGGTACATTAAAGTACGGATCGTCAGACAAGTACACTAAAATACAGATCGTTAATGTACCTTTTTCTCTATAAACACAGATCGTCAGACATGTACAATAAAACACATATCGTCAAACATGTACACTAAAACACAAATCATTAATCTACCTTATTCTCCATAACACACAAATCGTCAGACAGGAACACTAAAAAACAGATCGTCAACATAGATCGTTAATATACCGCCTTCTCTGTAGACATAAATTGTCAGACGTCATCATAATGTTTAAATTGTTTGATTCACGAGTTTGAATTTCGAAACTGATAGATAATACCTCAAAAATTTCAATAACAAAAACAAAAAAAATATATCTAACTAGATTTTAGGCTAAAATAATATGATGAAAACAAAATGATAATAAAAACCAATAACTAATCAATCCCTTAAAATTCATGCCAACATAGAGACCGCATTTAAGTTTTTTAAAAAACAAAAGACTTTTTTTTATACTAAAAATTCAATAATATTAAAATTAATTTAGTCACTAAAAAAGGAACCCTAGCCTAATTTACTTAAATAAAAAATTGTTCAGAGTTTTAAAGGCTGGATAGCCCACAAATAAAATGTGCATCACGTGTATCAATGGGTCATATTTAAATTAGATTTTATGGACTTGAAATTCAATTTTTAGATTTTCGGTATGAATTTTATCAGATTATTCACAATTTTTTTCTATTTTATATTTAAATTGGTTAAAAATCTAAAATTCACTAAAACAAAAATTGATTCAATCTGAATAGATAAATTAGATCTTGAGTTCAATTGAAACTTATCAAATAATGACCCAATTGCATCATTCGAAGTAACTTTTAGGTACCGTGTACCCTTGGATATAGATTATAGACACCTTACTCTACAGCTACTTCTCCATTTCAATGTCTGACTCTAAGTTGACTGGAGAGAGACATGTTGACTCTAAGACTCAGCTGTACCCTTATCCATCAACCGATATATTTATCGGTTGGCATTTGAATTTTCACTCGTTTTAACTCTCCTTCCTCGTTCTTTCCCATCTCCACAATAAAAACTAGGTTAACAGACATCTCTACCATATAAACTAGGGTTAACAGATCTAAAAGAAATTCCAAGAACAAAGCAGATATCACTTATGCTAGTGTCCTCCCTTCCTTGATGAGTCCCAACTCTCTTGATTGGGGTCTGTTTCACATGAATCAACATCAAAAAAACATGAACCTGGGAGGCATTACGGATTGTGTAGATGACGACTTTGATGGAAGTGATATGATTCCCTCAGAGAAATATGATGAAGATGAAGCAAATCTTGAAGAGCTTATCAATTATGTTAAGAACTGTAACATTGAAGAAGAAATAATAGAGCCGGAAAGGAGGAGAGAGAATGATATCTATATGATTCAGCGAAAAGATGCCTTGAGAATGGAAAAATTATCGTCCTTGCATGCGAAAGCATCCCGTGATGCTTACCAAAAAGGAGATTATTTTACTGCCCAAGGGTTTTCACTGAAGGCTCAGGCAGGACGAATGGTGGCTGAAATACTTCATGCCAAAGCAGCTAAAGAAATCTTTTATATCAAAAACCGTAACAATGATATATGGAAGTTGGATTTGCATGGTCTTCATGCAAAGGAGGCAGTGCAAGCCCTAGGGGAACATTTATATATGATTGAATCTCAAGAATTTGTATCACTTAGGCAAAAAAGAAGATTTTTATTAGTGATAACCGGAAGAGGCAATCATAGTCGGGGACAACCTGTGCTTCCATCCGCTATCAGAAATTTTCTCAATGAGAATCAATATTATTATGACGATTCAAGGCCTGGGGTGATCAAAGTACAACCCAAATTCAGTCCGGGGATCGCAGCCGATGAATGCTTGACCGCCAACCATTTGCAAGAGCAGAAATATTTTCCTCCGTTGCAGTTGCATGCATATGTAATGTTGTAGGAAACTGAATATTATTAGTATAGGCTGTATAGCACTAGTTGGGCCTAATTGTTGGGTTATTTTATTGTTATTGCTGGATTAATGATGTAAATATAAGTCATAATAAAATCCAGTCACCCATATTTTGATTTTGGGTGTAGAATTTTAATAATCTCTTCCCCCAATTCGTTCATATAAAAGCTGAATTGTAACAACAATTCAAGGCATCTCACTGAATGGTTGAGTATTAGTTCATGCATGAATATTAATAATGACTATGTTTCGTTTGAAAAAATCAGGTAACAAAGATCACCATCCTTTTTTTTATTTCTAAAATCTTGCATTCTGTTTCTTGAGTTTGTATCCCACTTTATTCAAAGTCTTGAGAATTCATCTTAGCAACAATGGAGTTCGATATATTACAAAAATATAAATTCATGTGATTCTACACTCTCCCATTCAACGTACTTCCAAGTTCCTCCAATATCCAAGTTCCATTATGAACACCACTTGTACTTTGGTAATTATTATTTTGTATTATAATAGTCTAATTACCATTTACAATTTTTATTTATTTAATTTTTTTTATTGTGAAAACTGAGATACAGAGAGAAGGGTTTCTAAAAAATTAAATGCTCAAAAATAAAATCTCCAAAATAAAGGAAGCAGTCCAAGTCGGCGCCATTGATGTCATGTGAAACGCAAGTTTTGGCTACTGTTGGTATGTATTTTGCTTGTAGTTCTCAAATAAATATTGAGTGTAACAATTACAATACGTCAACTTTGTCCCATGATGTAACCGTCCTATGTTACATTAGCATGGAGATGGACCAGTGAGGTTCTACATGAGTAAGCATTGCAGCATGTATAACAGTTTGTGAATCTCCTTCCAAAATGACAAAGCTCCCAGATTGCTTGCAGCTAAAGTTTCTACAACCAGGGGATTTGTCCTGGAGACTATTGACAGGTTAGCTGCAGCAACCTGCAACACAGCTGCATCAAAGTTTGATGTTTATCTCTCCCTCATTTGGTGGTACCCGGTGGTTCAGCTGTAGACATGCAGCTTGTTTTTGGATTCCTTTCGATTGTAGTATGCTGCTTTAGCTTGCTGAACTCTGTGCGAATGAGGAATTAAAGCTAAGGATATATCAACATAGACCATGGCCAATCAAGGAGAAACAACTTGCACTAAAGCAATGGACTCTGTCAAAAGCTATATCCAAAATGGAGTTCAACACATCGTTATTGTGCATCAAGCGCACAACCTCCCTCCTGAAATGATCACAGTGGAAAAGGCCATTACAATACCTTCAAAACCACGGTCCAATTTCACATCTCCAACCCAAGCCGATACCCTGGCCTTTTAAGCTAGGACTCACCACAACCCAATACTCCGCGGTTTAACCCAAACTTAAAAGGCTCACAGACATAGCCCATTTAAACTAAACCGAAGCTATGAATCACAATCCCAATTAAACCCATTCCTCCAAAATGTTCCCAACTTTGTTTCTTCACTCACCTCTCACGATGTAATCCATCCCCTCCTTGAAAATGCCCTAATCACTAACAACAACCAACCAACTACTCAAAACCTCTCGTGCCAACACCAACTGCCATATACCTCGAATCCACCACAACCATCGCTGCTCGCGCTTACGATCCTTTCATCCCAGCCAACAATAATCCCACCACACATCTTGACAATCCTTGATCAAGGTTTGGCAAATGTCTTCAACAGCTGATCACTATTTACAATCACTAAAAAGCATGTACATCCGATATCTTACAAACTCAAAATAGCAACAATATTTGCAAGATGTGAGTGGCAAAAAGTCGAGGGGAAGAGCAACACAAGGACACTCACATACAGAATAACCAGCACTATAAAGCTTAATATCAGTCTTTAAGACCTTTTTTGACAAAAGCTACCACAGTAACATTTCTCAAACCAATGGACTTAGGCATATACAAGTCCCTTTGACCGAATGAAGTACTACCTTGGAGTCCATGAGATGGAACGGAGGCAACTCAAACTTGTTTCGCTCCCTCTAGAGGCTTCGGTCTCCAAAATCTTGGCTTAATCAGTCGGCCTTTTTGTCTCTCTCATGAAAAGCAGGTTAAACATTAAACATTTTACCCGGTGCTTGCAAAGAAATCATTTCAAATGGAATATGCAACATAAAGAAACGCAGCACAGTCACCTAAGAGATACTGTAGTAGTGAATCTCATATAACTAAATTTCATGCTGTTATCTCATGAACATTTTCTGACTCATTTTTGGAATCCTTCACAAAAAAGTAGCAAGAAAAATTGGATATCAATGGAGAAAATAATGATGTGGAAATGAATGCTATCAAAGTTAAATCCAAAATTCAGTACTAACCAACAATATGAGGATCTTAATGAAACCCATGTGTCTGACTAACATATCATTATGTAAGTTCCACCAGAAGATATTCAACCACATGACCATTTAGGTACCAGTCAACTATTGTTGTTTAATAATCGCAACAATAAAGATTCAGTAGATGACTAAATTATCAGATTATAAATACAAGAAACATGGAAACAAATGCATAAATTCATGTGTGATACACCAAGTAAACATAAATTGACATAATCAACAATAAAATAAACTCCGGTGTCCAATTAGGGCCTTATCTGGTTGCAGTTATATTACCAAGCCATCAAATTTCGTTGGACTCTTGTACAAAAAAAAACAGAAAAATCACTGGACTAAGAATTCTTTGACCTTCTACCTAATTTAGGTCTAACAAAGCCCAAGTTCGAGTATGGAATTTTAAATGAAGCTCTAAAACTACGTGGTGTGATAAATACCAAAAGGTAATCATCGGACTATATAATTTGAAAATTCAGTGTACCTTGCACAAATAGCTACTTAGTGAAAATACAAAAGAAATCAGAAACATAGTAACAATAAAAATAGAGACAAAAAAACCTAACTTCACATATCTAGATACAAAAACCTGAGAAATTGAATCGGCAAGCATGATCGATTTGGGATTGCATAGGGAGGAGGGCACCTTCAATGTATTTACACAAACAACTATATATACACACATACAATATATAAATACACACACATATATATGTGGGAGAGAGAGAGAGAGGCAAAATGAAGTTACTCGCAGCCATAGAAAATTCTAAATATTTGGGGATAGAATTTTGAGAAGGTTGACTCTGGCTTCTCTATTTGCAGATACAGGGTTTCCACTTTCCACAACGCAAGGCTACTGGAATGTGTTAGCTAGACTAGTGCATTGAAGTTTGGGCCCACATTTTTGTAACTGACTGGATCCTTTGGGCCCATTTCATGGCCTTTTTATATTGGGCCCCTTTAGGTGTTTTAACTTGGTAAAAATTGGAGATGAGTCTCCTAGATATACTTGTTTGGACACAGGTCCAGCAAAAAAATTTATGAGAGACTAAGTTCATATTTAAAATTATATAGAATGACTTAAATCCGTTTTTTTTTTTTTATCTCAAAAACACCCCTAACGGTGTTCATTTTTAATCAACTACTCAATAATTTTTAAATCTTATTATTAATATTATTTATATAAAAAATATATAATATTATTTTAGTCCTTGTCGTATCCGTGTCCTATATTTTGGAATTTTGTCGAATTCCCGTGTCCGTATCCATGCTTCCTAACTCTCCACCTATGGCAAGTACCTTAGCAGATAACTGACTAAACAACAATTGGAGAGCATAAATTCCCCATTCCCCTAAAAAAAGCCTGCGGGAAAAGAAAAATCTTAACATTTAGAAAACAAGAGGCGTTGGCAAAACCAACTCCATTGATCTCTTAAATGCAAAATATAATAACTATATCTGTTAGGTTATAGAAATGGTATATAACACTGAGATGTCTTTAAAAGTCCCATAATGTGAGATATGCATCTCTCTAAGATCTTTGGTGACCTTGTATTCTAAATGTCTAATCTACTTAGCTGAGGTAAAAAAATTGCATTTAATTCAACAAATAACAAGAAGTTAAACACCTCAACTATTGAGCAAAATATAAAAAGAAGAATCAACTGTTTCAATGGATGATACTTCAGAATCAAGAATGATAAGTCTATTATTCATAGCAAAATCATAAAGAGGAGAGATTAAACTATGAAAACCACCATTAAGATCGAGCCAAATGTAAATTTCATCCACCACTGGGGAAACAAATACTATGGTCCACAATACGAACTTGCCATTTGACACGGGAACCACAGAGATGGAGTAATATCTAGACCAATGTGCCTTCACCAAGTTCATGCCACAAATAGAATGGACTAAAAACCCTACAACATTAAATCAAATGTGAAACAAAGAGGAGCTTGGGCCTATCAATTACTAAGACCTAGATCAAACCTTCCTCTGTATGAGGTCGGATAATGAGTACCGCTACATGACAAATGTGCTCAAGCTGATAAAGTGCCATAGATTGCTCACACTCCACAAGAACCACCACCGTGTTGCATCAAGCAGATGGTGTCAAGAAATAAATCGCTAAATACCTACATTTCCTTCAAAATTAATACAAAAATGGCCAACAAGGGGTTCACTCTGCCCTAAGGTTTCACTTAGCTTCGCTCTATCCCCTGATAAACTTTTTCCCCCTTGAAACAGAACCCACTCCACTCACACTACCCTTCTCATTGGTAGACCTTTCCTTCACTCAACCAGAAACGCGGTTGCCCATTAGGGGTATAAAAATAGCCACATAGTCTCTGAGACTACCTCCAAATGAACATAAAACCATGAGAAAACCACAATAATGCCTAACAACACAATTCTCATATGTTGTGCTGATACATTTCCAATACCAATGATCAGAAAATTTCTCTTGGTTCAATTCAAAGACACAAGTATACACACACATAATCAAACGGACTCGCTTGCATATTCATAGAGAAGAGGAAGAGAGACAAGGTTTAACAGACCTGAAAGACAGGGATGCTCAAGGGTTCAAGGCAGATAGGGCAATCCAACACATCTGGGTCGGTTAGAATCACAGGAATTGAACCGTCTCCACTGGGTCCCACCAATTCACCATCCTTGATCTGCCCCTTTCCACCACCGCTTCGAACCCGTCCCTCATTTGTTCTACTCCGATCCTCCTCTTCTTCTCCTTCCTCGTCATAACGTTCGGATACTAATTCTTCTTCTTCTTCCTCCTCCTCCTCCTCTTATTCTTGATATTCGGAGTCTATTTCTTCTCCTTGTTCTCCTTCTTCTTCTTCTTCCACTGGTTCTGGGTTTTCTCGTTCGTTGTCGTAATGGTCTTCTTGCAGCTGTGGCCGAGTAATACCAGCTATGGTCCTCTGCTTCTTATGCCTGGGCCATGAGCTGCTGGGTCCCTCGCTATCATCTTCTCCACCCAGAGAGAATCTCGCCATTTCCCGATCTTCTCTCTCCTTCCTGACGCTTTCTCATTTAGAATTAGGAACGCGAGTCCCCTTTATTTTTTTCTGTTTTTTTTTTTTTAAAATTACACTCAAACCCCTTAAAATTTATATAATAAAATAAGAGTGTGTTTGAATTTTATCTCAATCATAATTTCTTCCTCAAAACCATCATCAATCACTTACGTCATCCATTATCCCTTTATCAGACTCAAACATTAAATCACATCACTCATTTTAATCACATATTTAATTATTTATATATTTCCTCTTTAAAAATATTACACTACTCATTTCTATCATATATTTAATTTTATATTTTATCGTGATTTCAATCATGATTTATGACTAGTTTATAGACATATAATATTTAGACTCTTTAAGTTTAAAATATTATACTTAAATCATAAAACTCAAATCAAAAATAGAATATTAAATATTTCAAATTTTATAACCAAAATTCATGCTCTATTATGACATTTATTGAAATAAAATCAAAAAAAAATCTATTTTTTTCTTAAAAAATCATAATTAATATACAATTATACTATCGATTGGAATAAAATTAAAAAATCAAATAAAATGTCAAACTATAGTGGACACAATATCTTCTAACTTTAATTGGAATAATTTGGTCGTTTAAATAACCAAATTAAATTTTAATAGATAGTATAATTGTATACTAATTATAATTTTTTTAGATTTTTAGTTTTAATTTTATTTCAATAAATGTCATAATAGAATATAAATTTTGGTTATAAAATTTAAAATATTTGATATTCTATATTTAATTGAAATATTTTTATATAAATATAACATTTTAAATTTGAGGAGTCTAAATATTACACACTTATAAATTTTAGGAGATTTGAATGTAATTTTAATAAATATAATAACATTGACAATAGAAATCTAAATGTTACATACAAATCTTAAAATCTTAAAAGATATGTATATCATATTTCAAATATCAATAGATTTAAGTGATAAAATGATAAACTTCAAAAAGAGTTGAATGTAATTCCCCCTTTCCATTTTTCAACAGAATCTAAGTCTCATGGAATGGAACGAAGGGGTCTGTTTTAGGGGAGGTTAAATCTCTTTTTTTCACTCCCATTTAACTCTTTTATTTTAAGTTAAATTTACTCCATCCATACTCACTCTATTAATTACTAAACTCATCACATCTATAATCACCAAATAAAAACTAAATCCATTCTGTGGGGTTTAAATCTTTTTTTCTACCTCATTTAACTCTTTATTTTAAATTAAATTTACCTCATTTATACCAACCTCATTAGTTATTAAACTTACTATATCTATAATTACCAAATAAAAACTAATTTCATCTTATTTGATTTCAACCTACTATATAGACAATGATCAAAATTTCCTTCGGGGTGCACTATTTTGGTATCAAAACGTTTCAAAAACAAATGAAAAATAAATAAAAAATTAATAATTTATTTTTAAAATATTAGTCAAAATATCTTAATAACTCAAAATATTTCAAAAATATTTGTGAAAATATGTCAAAATATCTCAAAACACCTCAAAATATTTTAGATCACCTTAAAATTATTGAAATTTTGCTTCAATTGTTGTTTCGTTTTGACTTCTTTGTAAGATATATATAATAGTTTAATAGGATGAATATAAATGGGATGAACTTAGTCATTAATAGGGTATATATAGATGGGGTGAACTTATTAGTTTGAAATAAAATGATTAAATGGGATAGAAACCAATATTTAAAGGGTGAGAATAATGCCACTCAACTGCTTTTTCATCTTTTTCAATTCAATTTTTGGGTTTTTTTTTTTTAAACAAAGAAACACAGAATATCATTACGTAGGAAATGCTGATTACAATCAGTGGATAAAAAAGCCTTAAGTTCAGAAGGAAGACAACCCACCCAACTCAACGGAAAGTGAGTTAGATAATGTCATAACTGCTACCCAATGAGTTGTTCTATTAAAAGCCCTTGGCTTGTGTAAAAATCTTAAATTAAGAACCTTAGCATAATACCGAATGTCACTAACAAAGGCACAAATTTCCCATGGGGGGTATCTTCAGAAGAGCTTAATTTGATCATCTCCAAATTGTCACTTACCACTGTAGCATCCCTTAACTCAGATGCAGAAGCCAAAAGACAAGCTTCTCTGATAGCAGCGGCCTCAGAGGAGAAACTGGAGACAGCCAAAACCCGTTTAGCGATGCCATCCACCATCATCTCACGTGAGTCATGGAGAATCACCCCAATGGTTGTAGCTCCCTTCTTGAAGGCACCATCACATCTCAGAAAATAAGCAAGATTGTGGCCCGGGGGGTGCTCATGTGGATGAGACAAAACCACCTGTTGCGCCTCCTTTCTACTCTTCTCAGAAAATCTCGCATCACACCCCTACAATTGAGCCCACATCAGAGTGGCTAGTGTGTTAGGATCTTTATGATGAAACACAAAATTGTTTATGAAATTCCAAATGGCCCATGCAATCGTACTCCAACGAATAGTGAATATTCTTAAAATCATCCAAGAGGGACGATGCCCATTGAAAGACAGAAACATGAGGATCCAAAAATTCATGTTGTTATCTCATGAACATTTTTTGACTCATTTTTGGAATCCTTCACAAGAAAGTAGCAAGAAAAATTGGATATCAATGGAGAAAATAATGATGTGGGAATGAATGCTATCAAAGTTACATCCAAAATTCAGTACTAACCAACAATATGAGGATCTTAACGAAACCCATGTGTCTGACTAGTATATCATTACGTAAGTTCCACCATAAGATATTCAACCACATGACCATTTAGGTACCTGTCAACTATTGTTGTTTAATAATCGCAACAATAAAGATTCAGTAGATGACTAAATTATCAGATTATAAATACAAGACACATGTAAACAAATGCATAAATTCATGTGTGATACACCAGGTAAACATAAATTGACATAATCAACAATAAAATAAACTCTGGTGTCCAATTAGGGCCTCATCTGGTTGTTGTGATATTACGAAGCCATTAAATTTTATTGGACGCTTGTACAAAAAAAAACAGAAAAATCATTGCATTAAGAATTCTTTGACCTTAGGTCTAACAGAGCCCAAGTTCGAGTTTGGAATTTTAAATGAAGCTCTAAAACTACGTGGTGTGATAAATACCAAAAGGTAATCATCGGACTATATAATCTGAAAATTCAGTGTACCTTGCACAAATAGCTACTTAGTGGAAATACAAAAGAAATCAAAAACATAGTAACAGTAAAAAGAGAGACAAAAAAAACCTAACTTCACATATCTAGATACAAAAACCTGAGAAATTGAATCGGCAAGCATGATCGATTTGGGATTGCATAGGGAGGAGGGCACCTTCAATGTGTTTACACAAACAGCTATATATACATGCATACAATATATAAATACACACACCTATATATATAAGAGAGAGAGAGAAAATGAAGTTACTCGCAGCCATAGAAAATTCTGAATATTTGGAGAGAGAATTTGGAGAAGGTTGACTCTGGCTTCTCTAGTTGCAGATACAAGGTTTCCACTTTCCACAACGCAAGGCTGTTGATATGTGTTAGCTAGACTAGTGCATTAAAGTTTGGGCTCACATTTTTGTAACTGACTGATCCTTTGGGCCCATTTCATGGCCTTTTTTATATTGGGCCCCTTTAGGTGTTTTAACTTGGTAAAAATTGGAGATGAGTCCCCTAGATATACTTGTTTGGACACAAGTTCGGCAAAACAATTTATGAGGGACTAAGTTCATATTTAAAATTATATGTAATGACTTAAATCCGTTTTTTTTATCTCAAAAACTCCCATAAACGGTGTTCATTTTGGTTAATTATGGAAAGTCACAGGTTGGATGTTTGAGATATATATGGTAACAGATTGTTCAATTTTTTATGGAAATCAAATATACCATATTATGATGCTTTAATTAAGACAAAATTATTGTGCTATTAATTCAAATTCAGATTAAAAGTTTCCATTAACAACTCAAATTCAAGTTCAAAATCTGGATCACAGAACATTAAAATAAAACCAAACGTTGAGGGATATATGTTGAACATACACCTTTAATTTTCAAAGTAAAATCAAAGGTTGTGATCAGTAACGTATCCATAGTAACATTCATAATACTCAAGCAGATCAATACATTGAAATTATGAAATCAATTTTTCAGTTATCACACAGTAACATATCTATTTCATGTTTTTTTAAACCAATGAATTTTGAATGTCTTGAACAACAAAAAAAAGCAACAAAAATGTTCACATGTAATTATATAACACATTAATTTAGTAAAAGCAACATGAACAGTTCCATCAAGTTACAAGATATACACATATTAACATAAAGATAGCAAGATTAAAATTATTTACTAAATCACAGAAACATCATCTTGAGTAACATCAGACAAACACAATTACAGTACACATATTACAATTTTATGATTTGAAGATTACCCTATACAAAAATTTTCCATCCCCAATATTCACTTTTTTCACTTTTAATTGCAAACTTTTTATACATATATTATGCAACATAAACTTTTAATTTTTGCTGTAACATCAAAGTATTGTGCTCAGTAAGACATCGACTTTCTCAAATTATAAGACTATATTGTATTCACAATAACATCAAATTTTGAAATATTATAGTAAAAATGCAATTCAAAAATTGAAATTTTATAAAATTTATAACAGTAATTTCGTCAATGGAACTTGAAGAGTAGAATCGATTTTTGCTCTTATGGTCTGTAACCTCTTTGAATTTTGAATTGAAGTGATTTGGGTAATGATGGTTAATGGTTTTCGGAGAAGGAAACCAAAAAATTTGAGGAATTTTTGCCTTATTTGTAGGATAAAATGAAAGGAAAAGTTCTTGTGTAGAGTGGCGAGAATGGAGAGTTTCTCCGCCTTATATAGAAACGACAATTTAGACGTCATTTGTGGTTTTTCAAAAATAAGGGTA